TTTGGTATCTATCAACTTCATGTTTTAAAAATGCCTCTATAATAGGGCTAATACTACTGGCTTCTCTTTCTGATAATAGATTTTTTTTAGAGTTGTAAGCTGATTCCATCCAGCTTTTATTAATGAAGGTGGTAGTTGAACAAGAAGACTTGAATAATTTTCGTGAAAAGTCATGTAATTTGTTAATTTTCGTGAAAAGCTATGTAATTACATGAAAAAAATAATTTTATAACTCTTATTTATTTTATAACTTTCATGAAAAGCTATGTAATTACATGAAAAAAATAATTTTATAACAGAACACCAATTCCATTTTGATAACAGTTACCGACTTTAGACCTGAAGGGTCATTGCTTTGCAATATATATTAATATTTTTTTATAAGAATGTGACCTCGAGCGGTCAACAAATATTAACATCCACATGTATAACAATAAATCATACCTATAGGTTAGCCAAATTTCAATTCAAGGTCACATACTATATTATACAAGGTGCAGTATAGAGCATAGTAGTCACATGACATTGTGACCTGAGGGTCACGTACTACATTATACAAGGTATAGTAATTATATATAATTTATTATAACGTAATCAGCAAAATTTGCCTGACCCAAGTCAGTGAAATTTTTTTGCTAATTAGCTTTTGAATATATTTAATTTTTATATAAAATAATGTCAAACGCAATTGATTTACTGAAAGAATTAAATTTCAAGCTCTTAGCTAAGATTACTGAGTTTAGAAAAGAGAATGCTAAAATTCCTGAGCTTAGAAAGAAGTTTGCAGAAATCGAAGCTGAGAATATGAAACTAAAACAGGCTATAGAAGAAAATGCAGTACTCAAGATTCGATTTGAAGAGCTAGAAAAGAAACACAAAACAGACACTACCAAGCTTACTGCTGAGAATACCAAATTGAAAGATAGAGTCACGAAATTGGAACAGATACAGACTCTAGTTACTATTAGTGACCAAAATGCATCTTCTATAAAAGATAAGGAATCTATTATTTCTGATCCTATACCTGAACCAATACACAGCTCAACCCAGCCTCAAGAAATGATATATAAAGAAAATGTTATGCCCACTATTTCTTATAAGCGAAAGAAAGAACAAGGCTTAATTCAGGAAATATCTGCAGGTAATAGCCAAGATGATACATTTCTATCTACCCAAGATCATGTGCCTGAAATTTTGCTGACCCAAAATTCGAATCAGGTCAGCGAAAATCATGTAAATGATATAACTATACTTTCTGTATCAAGAAGTAAAACTTTACTAAACTTGGCCACCTTATATCGGAAAGCTTGTGATGCAGAAAAACAAGCAATAAAAGCCAATCAAAATGAAATTTTATGCTGGTACTATTACATTATTGAGTTCGATAATCAAGTTAAAACCATTATGAAAAATGAGCAGGTTGGTGAGAAAAAAGCGAAAGGACAAATTTATAATTTTATTATTGCACAGCTTGATACTAAACGTAATACATTACATAAGCAAACACAAAGAGCTAGAAAAATTTACAGGTTATTCGAAAAAATAGGTTTAGATAAAGTAAAATATATTAAGTCATATAGTGCAAATACTATTTTAAAATTTACTAATGAACAAACTCAAACGATTATTGATCATTTTACTAAAAATTCTACTAAAGAATTCATTGATGACCAGGACAATTCTTCAGATGACTTATCTAAAACTGATGTAGGTGAAAAAACTTTACCGAAAATTGAGGTGAATACACTAACCATATCTCAGCCCAAGCTTCAAATTTCAGCAGAATTAGCACAGTCAAAAGCCTTCTACGCCCTCCAAAACTCTTCCCATTCAAGAGAAAGCTATCAAAAGAGATGCGTAATCCAGTTATTAATAAACTAACCTCACATTTTACTGACTCACCAAAGTTAGATAAAAATTGTAGTATTGATACTGAAGATGAGCATCAAACTGATTCCTATTGGGTTCTCGGTCCACATTGCCCACTATGTAGAGAAAATCATATGAGTTTATATGGTAAGTGGTGGCTAGATAGTCGAAGTAAAAATACATATTATTTATATTGCACTAATTTAAAAGAGCCAGGAATTCCATACAATAATGTACTAAAAGCATATTCTGATAATTCGGAACTGATTCAAGAGTTAAAAACTCGATGTTTCACAATACCCATCTCTTGGAATAATGCTCTTATTTTACCAGATAAAAGCATAGTCCTGGAAGCATAGTCACTGTATGACCTTGTAAAAATCATTATAATTATTACATATTTATCATATCAATAAAGAGTATTGCGAAGCAATGATCCTTCGGGTCTAGATCGTCAGTTTGCATCACTAAGATTCTAATGCGTCTCAACCGCGACTCAACTGAGGTATGATTTTTTTCATATAATTATATAAGAAAAATTCAATCGCGACACAACCACGACTCAACTAAAGCATTTTGTACTGAGCGATCTTAAATGAAAATAATAATTATTATAGCATATTAAATATATAAGTGGTATGATTAGTATGAACCAAAGGCTGATCGATCTACTGGCAATCGTGAACGATTTACAAATAAGTACCGGTAGCTAAGCTTAATTTGATCAAAATACGAAATTACACTTTTAAGAGTTATTTTGCATTTATACGAAAAGTCTAATTTTGAAATTATGAATAACTCTTATATAGTGATAGTTATATTTTGTATCGAATTCAGATACTTACTAGCTGACTTGAAAATTAGGGGTTTAAAATTATAACTAGAGAACCTTGATTTATTTTTTCGATTTATAGCGAAGCTAGTGTCTTTGACACATAATTTATCGTAGTTAAAATGCTATTAAAAAATTTTACTTATTTTGAAATATACAACTTATTAATTTCGAATTTTAATTCTGAAACCCCTTAATGACCAAGGTGGTTGCTTTGATCTACGGTAAATAACCAATACAGTATTATGCTCCTTCTTGAGTTCCATAACATATTTAGTTAGTGCAATTCCAAAAACAAAGGTATTTTTATAGTCATGCCATACAATAGATAAATATAGTAATGTGATGCATATCGTGATTTTAAGCGCATTTATACTGCATGTATTGACCAATTAGTTATGAAATTTAGCAGACCTAACGTACATACGTACATACGTACATCATTAAAAATGCCTTATAACCATACACTTCGTGAAATTTTCAGGCCCTTTAGGGGCGCCTCTTTGAGGCATATTACTCTGCCAAAAATTTTGCTGACTCAAGGTATATGCCGACAATTTTTTTTATTCAATCGTTGTACTTAACGATCCCTTATTTAATCTAAAACTTACACAGACCGTATTTATTTTCTATTATCTAACAATATACCAAACTAATAATAATACTGATATACGTATACTTAACTATTTATTCTTAGCTGCGAATTAGTAATAGGTGAGTAGTTTTTATATTAGATATATAATTCAGGTTGCCAATAAAAAATAGATCAAAAATATGCTAAGCTGAGATATGCCAGAAGATATAGCTAGGATTAGAATTACTACGTAGTATTAAAGCTAATTAAAAGTGACAATTAATAGCTAAAACGTTGTATGAGTCTATTAATTACACTATTTTCTATAATAAAAAGCAAATTCGATTTTGTAAATAAACTAAGTATGTGGGATAAAATTTAGGTTAGAACCTTAATGTTAGATACTATAGGGTTAGAGTAATGGTTATTATAAGTAAAATTTCATTCCTGTCATTTTTGCTTTTTTTTTACTTGTTCGAATTCTGGATGTGTACAACAGAAGTGTTTCTGGTGCCTGCTTATAGCTAAGTATAGTTTCTATTATATATTTGTAATTATCATACAGGTGAAAAAAATTTTATAGTTCAAGCAGTTAGCTATAGTTAACATACGAAATAAACTAGTTCCAAACCTTAATTAATCTTTGCTTACATAACTCTTTCGACTAACTCATATATACTTACAAGAATTTTATCGCATAAATTAATTGTAGTATAATCGATAGTGTTGCTACTGTGTGAGAGACTTGGCTAACATAGGGTCAAATTAGCTCAGTTATAAATATAGGTTATGCGAAATAGATGATTATTAGAGGATTTAGAATTAATGATAGTTCGGGTCTTACATTTATACATTTTAGTCTGCCATATTCTGAATGATAGGTTAAATTATTCATAGAATTAGTAAATAATACTCTTTTTATGTCTTTAGTGTTAGTAATATTTGTAATTTTACTTATCTTAATAAAAATCTGATTCTCTTATACATGATATATTGTTATTTAAAGTCTTACTATTAACAATCCGATCCTAATAAAAAATAAACTAATTTTAGTCATGTGATATTGTAACCTGGGGGTCACGTACTACCAACCTGCCTTTTTTCTTACGTTCGATTTTTGATTTATAAGAAAGCCCTTTCTTATTATATATAATGCTGCAATAAGAAAAAGTACAAATAGGATTTAGAAGGGCTATACTAAGGAAGAGTACATAGTATTATCAAAATTCATATGCCATAGGAACTTGGAATTCTCAGATCGCTGAGATCATTGACTTTTTCACTTGGTAGTAGCAAGCATCGAATCTAAGGGGTTATGTCCCTAAAAGGATGCTAAAATATATTTAGTATTTGGGCTTTACAACTGAAATGAAGTTGCTTTGTTAAGTGTGATCTGGCAGTATTAGAGTAACGCAATTACTAATCATGTAACTTTTTTTGGCAGGTTTTTTAAATCTAGTGAATGGACGGTATAAAAAAGCGATTTTTTGTTTCTTGTAGGTGGGTTATAATAATATTTTTGTTTGTACATATTTTTTTACCCGCCCATAATTAATTTTTAAAGTAATTTGCCATTCCATTTCATGGTAATCAATATGGAGACGAATTTTTACTTACTATGGTTTTTTGTATTTAGGAACAAAAAATGAGCAGTAATAAAACCACCACTGATCATTCTTGGCAGGATTCTCTCATCACTCCTATCAGAGTAGGTGTCACCCCAAGAACAAGATAAATAAGACCCCCAGGGCCAGTGATAGTAACGCCTCCAAGACCAATGATAATGACACCCCCAAGAACAATGATAATGACACCCCCAAGAACAATGATAATAATGACACCCCCAAGAACAATGATAATAATACCTCCAAGACCAATGACAATAATTAATGTATAATTGGAAAAAATTATTATTTTTTTTTATCTGTATATTGTTGTTCTAGCAACAATTATTATGAAATAAAGGTGGCCTTAGCATTTTTTATTTTTTATATAATTGAGTGAATTTAGGGTAATTGGAAGATAACTAGGAGATAACTATGGGGCAGCTTATTTATTTTTATTTATCGTTAATTATTCGAGAATTATCGCATCTACATCGCCTATATAGTCCATCCGCTACTTTTTTGCATGTTTTGCAATATAGGTGTGAATGATGATTAAATTCGTCACAAACTTTACATCCATGCTTCCAACCTCTAAAGATGTGCCACTTTTCGAAGCAATTTTGTTTATCTTTACGTATGAGTATGCTATTTGGA